TCTTAGTAAAACTGGTTAGTTTAAATTTGTAAGTTCAACCGTTTGGTTTCATATAGCGAACAAATAAACAAACTTCCTCTTTAGATATATAGATTATACTAGTCATATAAGATTATGATAGGCCTATTTCTTTCTCATTTTTTGTTTAAAAATATAATAGGCTTAACATAATGTCTTATGACAAGTAAATTAATTATAATTGTGTTTCGTCAGGTTATAAAAGCGTTCACAGCATAACAATTGTTTTCGATAGATATTTGAGTTTAACTTCATTCCAAGTTGGATAAAGCTCTTTCAAGTTTTAACGTTAAAGTTATGCGTCGCTGACCTAGTAAGCATACTTTATTTTTTGAGAAGCGATTTAGGCTTACTACCAGTAATTTTATCGCTGATTTCTTTGGCGCTGTGATCTCAATGTAGCTTTTTTTTTTTAATCCGGCCTTGCCCTATTTAATTCACTAGTTTATTGCAACTACTGAATATTTTTAGCACTTCATTGATTACGAAATATGATTAGTTTTGGGTATAGTCGTGGGCCCTATCGACTTGCCCTTAAAAAAAAAACAGAAAAAAAACGGAAAACTAAGTCATCCCAAAGGACGATAATATCACTGGGTGGTAAGGACAGGGAATAATATCATATAAAGATAGACATCAGCAATAACTGTTTAAAAATAGATATGTAATCCAAACTCTCATTCGATTCATCATTTACTCAGAATAATAACTTAGTAGCATCACTGCTACATATTCTTCAAATCCTAAATATAAAAAGATGGTTTATTACAGTGAGTAATAGGGACAACAAGGGCTCTATTGGTCCATCTCGGCTGTTCCATCCTCTAAACTAAACTAGAACTCTCAAATAATAAAATAAAATAAAAATCATAAAGCCAGCACTTATCATTTATATAGTTATCAAGTTTTCTCTTAAACTCAATTAAATTTACTGCCTCCACAACTTCCTAAGGCAATCCATTCCATAGGTCAACTACCCTATTAGAAAAATAAAACTATTTTAGCTGAAGATGACCTTGCCAAAATTATTATTTGTGTCCCCTAATCCTACTATTATCGCCGTTAGGTATGAAGAAAGATAATTAATCAACACTCTCAATTCCACTTACAATATTAAATACCTCAATCATATCCACACTAACTCTTCTTTTTTTCAAGAAAACTATTTGAGAGATTTCTCATATGATAACCCCTCAATCCCAGGCAACATTCTAGTAACCCTCTTCTGAACCTTTCCCAACAATTCAATGTCCTCCCTAAGGTAAGGAGCCCAAGACCGAACACAATACTCCAAAGGTGGCCTAACTAGTAACCTATACAATGAAAATATAACTTCTTTAGACGCGTATTCAATATTTCTGTAAACACAACCTAAACTCTTATTTGCTCTACTACTAGCAACTGCTTGAGTGGCTTAAGAGACTGATCAACCATTACACCACGGCCCCTTTCTTTCATAACAATGTTAAGATTATTCCCATACAAATTATACTTATAATTTAAATTATGATAACTCACGTGTATTATCTTGCATTTCTTATAATTAAAACCCATCTGCCATTTATTTGCCCAATTTACAACATCTTTTTTTTTTCTTTTTTTTTTTAGTAAAGCAGCAGCATCCTGTTTAAAAGTTTAATACTTTAATATCATCAGCAAATTTAAGTAATTTATTGACCATACCTTCATCTATGTCATTGGCGGTTAGGGCGCTTGACTCGGAATTTGAGGGTCGCGGGTTCGAATCCTCGTCCCATCAAACATGCTCTCCCTTTCAGCCGTGGGGGACGTTATAATGTGACGATCAATCTCACTATTCATTGGTAAAAGAGTAGTCCAAGAGTTGGTGGTGGGTTGTGACGACTAGCTGCTTTTCCTCTAGTCTAGGGACGGTTAACGCAGATAGCCTTCGTGTAGCTTTGCGCGAATTTCAAAACAAACAAACCAATCTGTGTCATTGATGTAAATAAAAAAGAGCAAAGGTCCTAAGACTGAGCCGTGAGGTCCCCCATTGTGACATTAATCTAGTTTAAACCACAATCCATAGAAATAATCGTTTGTATTTATATCTTGTTAAGCGCAAAGCTCTGCAATGGGCTATCTATGCTCTGCACATTATTGATATCGAAACCAATTTTTAGCATTATGAGTTCTCAGAATTACCGCTTAGCCATCAGGGGCTAACCGTGTGCAAGAAACTGTTTATGGCTGTAATTATTTATGGAATGAAAAGTTGTAAATTCATGTGTTTTAATCGTTTGAAAATTATGTATTTATCACGGAATAAATATTTTGAAAACCTTAGTTACCAAATCAATAAAGTTTGGCTTTATGTAGTTAAAAAAAATGACGAGGGCTTCAGAGTGAAGTCGCGGTATTTGTTACTGGGTTGTCTAGAATGCGCTCAAAGCGATGCGCAATGATAAGAAATCTCTGGTGTTTGTTTACGCCATTTGTGGTACACTATTATTAAAATGGTTATGGAACTAGTATAACTTATAATGTATAGTTGCTAACTATAATATTTTCTTTGTAGTAGTTTCTAGAAGTGAAGTAATAAACTAAAAATGTCTGGAAAGAATTCCAATTTCCCTTCAACAGAGCGAGTCGTCAAAAGTAAGTTACAAGTAACTTGCGCGAAACGATTAGGCGTAAGCCGTAAGAAAGTCTGCAACACTATTTTTTTATCATCTACACAGTATAGTGACACTCCCTACGCATTTAGTTACTCTGTAAATTAGATATATATTATTTAGTACATAGTTGTTTAAATTTTTAAATTTGTACCTCAAGGATTGACTGTAGATCTAGAAATATAAATTTTAGCATTTAAATTTTAATTTAATATTGTAAGTTGCAATGGGACTGGTAAAACTGAAGACGTGATAGTCACTATTTCAGAATGTGTGCCAGAATGTATGCTTTAAGTTATATAAAAAAAAAAAGGTGGAACGTAAAATAGTTAGAATTATAGAACATAATCTTTCTACATTTGTATCAGTTTGTATTTAGTTACAACAAATTAAGATTATATACTTTCAATTAATATTACAACTTACAATGTTAGTGTTACATTGTAAATTGAAACCAGGATTGTTGGTTTTAATTTAAGATAATTATTTTGTAGAATTTGAACAATGAATAAAATAAGGTAAAAAAAAAAGGCTGTTGTTTTTAGTACTGGGTAATATTAACAACTTATAGTAATGTATAAATCATTTATAACATGTGTGATTGAATTATTAAGGTCTTGTACTTTGTAAATCTAGGATTATTCATTATATTAAAACAAAATTCAAATACAAGAAAGGTGACAGAGCAAGACAAGACTCGTATGCTTAAGCTAGTGTAGTATTTCCATAATTTTGCTTTAATGTTGGTTGTTAGTGATAAATATTTGGAGTTTCTTTTCCTACCTACTGTGGAATGTGATGCATTAGAAATATGTTCAATTTTTACTCTTACTTAATTTGGTAAAGTGTATTTTCTTCCATTTTATTTCCATTGTTGGTTGTGTTGGCTATTTTCATTAAGTGACTTATTAAGTTGGCATATGATCTTCACTATTTTAACTACCTTAAATATTTCTTTTCTGTCATTCTTGGATGTATCATAATTTTAATTTGTGTGTATATGTGCATGTAATTTTTAAGATTAATTTTTTTGTCACTTAGATTATTTTTCTTTGCTTATCATTTGTAAGAAAGTAAGGTTACAAAACATTTTTTGAAGAACAAGTCTACATCTAAGAATACAAAGCTTAAATCTCTTCCCATGATAGGCTGACAACAAAGGTTTTGTATATTAAGATAACCACTTGTAATGAACTAAATGGTGAAGAATTATCTGCTTCCTAGTGGCTCATTTAGTATAGTATTGACCTTATTATGTGCCAAAATTCACCTATATCAGATTTGTACACATTCAGTCTATGAAGACTCGCTGTCCAAACTTATAACCTGAACCCAACCTCCACCAATTTTTCTTTAAATGCTTGTTATAAATAAAATTGTTAAAACTAAGTCTCTCCTTATATCCTAAATCACCCAAGTCAGCTATTATTATCTGCACTATTTCTAAGATCTTGATATTCTTCTTGATTGTGAGGAAACCAGAACTGCACACTGTCTGATGTCTCATTAAATTTGTTAAAGGTTATAATAACCCTCCTGCTCTTAAATGTTTATCTCCTAAAAATAGTACCAAGAACTGCATTTCCTCATTGTCAAGGATCTAGAAGAGAATGTTATTTTATGTTTTAATAAACAATTATAATTAACACCTCCCTGTGTTTTTCTCATAGCATTAGTGCTCTTTTCATACAGGAAGCCCTTTCCAGATTTCTATACCAAAATTATGTAATTTTTCTCAATACTTATAGTTTATGTAGAAATTTATGTAATATTATTTGAACTGTAGGCATGAAAGCTACACAAAATGTTAGGTAGTATTCATAGTGAGAAAGCTCAAAGGGTTTGTGCATGTTTATGCATCATAATGTCACTGTACAAGTACACATTAGTGAAAGTCTTGGACTTTATGACATCATAAATTCATAATACAGTTAGCACTCTCACTAGTATTGAGTATATGTAATGATCAGCGATGTTTAATCTTGAGTTTTACTAAAGTGATTTAATATCTTAACTGGGCATGGCAATCTCCTGAAAAGGGAGTTGACAAGAGTTAACACAGAGTTTTAATGTTAATAGACCCAGTGTTGAGTTAGTAATATACCATACTCAAGCCTCAAGGAGACATTTGTTTGTATCTAGGTAAAAAAGTGTCCTCAATGACCCATAGTTGAAGCAACCAAGTTAGCAGTGGATTATCTTTAACAATAAAATAAAGCAGAATGCTGCAAACTTTGTCATTCTCAATAATATGTGATTAAAAATAAAGATAAAATTTCTTTTTCTACATTTATTCCTGTGACAGCAGTGTTAGTCTCATGTCATTTACCAATATAATACAGAATTCAGTACCTTTTGATGAAAAACCTGGGTTTGTTTGTTTTTTCTGTAAATTTAGAACATTTTAAACATTAAAAAAAATGCTTCAAATTACAATACATTTTTACATTCAGGTGATGGCCATATTTCAACATCAAGAAATTAAATAATTTAAGAAATAACGATAAAAATAAATTACCAAAATAATTATTTTCAGCTTCTTTTCCTCCAGCAGCACTGAATATAAGGCTTATATAGTTAACTGTTAATATTTTTTGTGTGTCTTTCAGAGCTGGGCAATTAGTGGAATTTGATAATAAATTAATCACCAGGTTCATTAATGTTTTATATTCAAGTAATAATGAGTCTCACACGTGACTTGGATGGTTGGAATAATCGGAAACTAATTTTGATTAATTGATTATATTATGTGATACTAATTGATGTAATCAATGCTTATAAGTAATTGATTAATTATGTTAATCATTCAATTTAGTGTTTTTATAAGCTTGAGATATCTGCCTATGTACAGTGTATACTTAGCAACTTTGCTTTGAGTATTGCTTTTTAATTATTTCAGGTGTGCCATTCCCACCTAGTCATAAACTTTTAATCAGTGAAATCTTCGATTCTCAGACTAACAAACCTAGAATGGAAGTTTTAAAGCAGCATTTTACTCTAGAAGGAAGAATAGAAGAAGCTGCAGCATTGCGTATCATTAACGAAGGCGCTGCTTTGTTAAGGCAAGAACGTACAATGATTGACATTGAAGCTCCTGTGACAGGTGAGTGTCATATGAAAAAAAAAAACTTTCTCAATGTTAAATACGTTTTTTTTAATAACTTCAATAAAATAAATGATCTTCATGAAAGAAGAGTAATTCTTGTTGGATATACGAATGAGATCATAAGGAACACAAATCCTTGTCACTGGAAATGGCCACCAGAGGGTGCTACATCTGCACAGTGTAGCCACCATTCATGTCAATATGCCTTGTAACTGGGATGATGTGATAGACAGCTGAATGAATCTGTCCAGTATTTAGCAAGGCTAGATGGTGTCAGACTGCATCTTTCATACCAGTCAATGTAGCAGGCACTCTGCGATGCACAACTAATTAATCAAACATTGGCACATGATCTGTTTTACGTGTACTTTAAATGTTGGTGTAGACATTAGAACATCTTATTTCAAACAAATACTCTATACATACAGTGCTGATTTTTTTTTTATCAGGTTGTAGTATCATGAAATTAGTATTTAATACATTACCTGTTGTAATGTGTATTGAAATCATCTAAAGAAAAAGCAGGTTGCATATGTATATTGGTCGTCTTCATTTGGGTTTCTTTAGAGCTAATTCAGGGCCAAAATAAAGCCCCCTAACACAAATTCTTAGCCTAAGATTTCATAAAAGCCACTCCTAAGTTAATAGAAATCTTTATGAAGATATTTTTTTTTTGGTGGGGGTGGTGGTGGTGTAAAGAAAATGACTGAGCAGTTTTTATACTGTACTTGTGAAAATACTGCTCACCTGTTCTAACATAATGTACTTAAAAAAATACATGTAATTAAATTAACAAATATACAATAAAATGCTTCTCAGTAAAATACTTAATATCTTCAAGAAATCTTAAACTAGAACTATTTTAGCTTCAGATGCTATATATTACCTTTCTACTTGTGCCTAAATCTTTTATGAGTGATACACTTACATGTACTTTAACATTTGGAGGCAGTAAATTTAAGTGAGCTTAGCAGAAAGCTTGATAAGGATATGAATGATAAGGGCTGGCTTTAAGATTTTATTTTTATTAATAGTTTTAGTTTAGTTTAGAGGATGGAACAGCTGAGATGGACCAATAGGTTGCATGTTGTCCCAAAACATTATGTTATGTCATAAAATGTAAGTCTTGCTTTCTCAACTCTTAAACTCAGACTAATTAACCATTCTACTCAAATTCACTTTGGTTGGCCTTACTCTCTTTATTAGATGTCATCAAATTCATCAATTGGAACTTGTAAATATGTAAGTAGAATTACCCAGTTAGTAGCAGTATTTTTGATCTCGTATGTCAATAACCAGGACATAAGAAAATTTTGATTTTAACATTTTTGTTTTTTACTGTTGTATGCTTACAGTTTGTGGTGATGTCCACGGTCAGTTTTACGACTTAATGAAACTGTTTGATGTTGGAGGACCACCTGCAACAACAAGATACTTATTTCTGGGAGATTATGTAGACAGAGGGTACTTTAGTATTGAAGTAAGTGAAGACTAATGAAAGATATATTTACATATTTATAATACTTACCAAAATTAATATCTGCTCAAAGTACATACTTGTTATACAAAAGGTTGATAAGTTGATGAAATTATTTTTTAATTTAATATAGTCGTTATGTTATTGGTCAAATACATATTCTGTCTCTATATTATAATTGAAATTAGAAAAGACGCAAAATGTAACTTGAGTATTAATCTTTTTTAGCTTAAAAAATATATTATGGGTGGGATGTTTTTCTTCATATTCATACCTGAGAAAAAAATACTTTCCTAAGCATATAAAATTTGACTTTCATTTTGAACTTTTAAAGACAGTGTGGTAGTAACTCATAAGTTATTCACCTGCAGGCTATCGTTCAAGCAGGTATGTGTCCATTTGTATTTCCATGTTCCATTGTTAATGCAACATTAGATTAGCCATCCATATTTATATAGAGAAGTCAGATAAATAATTAGGGAATTTTTCTATAGTTTGGTATATTTTTTTTTTAGTATAAGCTGGAGTATTTTTACACAGTGAGTTTGAGCGCTATTTGTATGAATTCATTTCAGTGTGTTCTTTATTTATGGGCGCTCAAGATATGCTTTTCCAAAACTTTATTCCTATTACGTGGAAATCATGAATGCAGGCACCTAACTGAATACTTCACCTTTAAGACTGAATGTAAGTATAAAAAGAAAGATTGAAATCGTAAGGAATGTATTTGTTTTTATGTACATATTTGGTTTAATAAGAATAATTCAAGCAGGCTTATTATGTTTAATTGGATAAATATAGTGTTGAAAATAAAATAACTTTTCTCATTTAGTAAAAATAAATGTACATTGGATAATTCTTAATATATTTGATATATTAGTGAAATGTAAGAACTTTTTAATGTATTTTGGGAAACGTTTCTCCATTTTTTTGTTATCATACATTTTTTTCTACCATTATTCCTATATTTGTATTTCAGATAATATATATATACAAATATCAAATTTTTCTATAGTGAGCCTGATTAACCCTTTTTTTTTACATTCATAGTGTGTTTCTTGGAATTATGCTTTTATCAGTACAGCTAAATTATCTCTTGTCCAGTGTTGGTAATTAATAACTCAGAAGTAGCTCAGATTTCAAATTAACATTTCATATTTAAATTACTTAACTACATAAGGAAGTATTTTTTGTCCCTTATTTTTGGAAAAATTTTGGCAATAGATTACAGACTTCATTAAAATTTGGAACATTACTTTTGGTTCACCTATTATTGTTGGGAGATACCTCATTGTGGTCAGCCTGCATAATTTTAACAATGTGGTCCTCTTTGACCTTGGGCATTTTTCATGATTCGTAATAATTGTGTATAAAAAAAAATTCTTGTGCAGTTTCTAATTTTCCTATGAAACTTCACCATATGTTTTTAGGAATTATTAAATAAATGAATGTATAGGAAAAGTGCATGTTGAAAGGGAAGAGTACCACCATTTTTTACTATTTGCTCCTCTCAGAAAATAGGTGTTTTTATAGTAAGCATTTTGAATAACACAGTAATACGTAATTTTATTTTACCGTTTGAAACAACTTTACCAAATTGTGTACCTCAGAAATTATCCTATGATAGTTTCTGATAACAAAGGAAATGTTCTTTTTCATTTTTTGAACCAGTCATTTCTTTCCAAAATTTAATTTGTTTTATTGATACATGATGACTATTTGTTATAGTCATCTACCTTTCAAGGACTACAAAGAATGTAGTGAAATACTTCTGACATTTATCTAGGTAGTTGATATGAATCTAAAGAAGATGGTGGTTGCCAGAGTGCATTTATACATGTATATATATATATATCTGCGTGTGTGCGTTTGCACAGCTGTATGGGTTTGAACCATGTTGGGTAGATTTCTATACGAGAGCTTGCACAGCTGTATGTTTGAAACCTGTTGAATGGATATGTACTAAATTTCCCCAAGCATGTGTCCCAGCTATACCGAAATGTTGAGGTGATCTCTAATATCAAAATCACAGTCTTGAAATATGTATAAAAAAGTATTTAGTTTTAATGTCAAGGACTACTGTGTTTTATAAACAGCTGTTCTCTATCTATGTACAGCAAATTGATTAGCTATTATATATTTGGATATGAGAATCAATTTGTATCATGATAAAATTATCATTTTATACCATTATCTTTCTCATATTTTATTATACATAAATCCCCACCCTTCTTTTTTTTTGTATGTTTTTTGTTTGCACTCACAAATTGTATTTACGTCATCTACTGGAATTTGGTGTCTGTTGTTACCTGATAGGACATTTGAAGACATGAACAACAGTGACATGTTAGATTTTTTTTTTTCCCTTCTTACAGTTTTTATGTCAGTTTAGCAGACTGAATATGCATGGATTGAGATCATCTGTTGTGCTGTAAGTCCGTATAGAAGTCCTTTCCCACACAAATTTCACTACTGCTATTTATTTGGTAAAAGAGGTAATTGTAATAATGACATACTTATGTAAAAGTGATTTTGAAATGAAAAGGATCACACACTGTTGGATCATGTAGCTCTTTGCAGATTCAGTAAATCTTTGAAGTTGGCATCTGTGCAGTTTCACTCTTTTTAATACTGAATACAGTTAAAAGTCACATAACGTTAATAGTAAAGAATAACCTAATGTAGCTTAATTATTTGTATTACAGTTGATTATTGGAATTTAATTCTGAGTAAAGTACTCCCAGAAAATAAATGGTTTAGATAATTAATACTTGAAATTGTTGGTACTTGGTGAAATTCCATAATTACAGAATTGAAGAAAACAATGACAATTGTACACTTCACAATTTCATCCTCCCCCCAGAAAAAACTGCAAAATTTTACATGTTGGTGAAAAAGGGGGAAAAAGCTAAGTAGTCTTTGAATTTTAGAAATAAATAAGAGTTTAGAAATAAACCCAAACAACGTTCTCAGTGACCAGGTCAACTTGAGCTCCTCCCAACTTCTCACCCCCATTTACCTCTAGATGAATGTCAAGATTCTCAACAGATTTTTTTGTGTGTGTTAAACTTGTTTATACCTGTTTAAGTCTGTTCTTGATAATACCTCTATGGGTGAAACTGTGATAGTATTAAGTGACATATTACTTGATAATACCTCTATGGGTGAAGCTATGATAGTATTAAGTGACATATTATTTGGTAATACCTCTATGGGTGAAGCTATGATAGTATTAAGTGACATATTACTTGATGATACCTCTATGGGTGAAACTGTGATAGTATTAGGTGACATATTATTTGATAATACCTCTATGGGTGAAGCTATGATAGTATTAAGTGACATATTACTTGATGATACCTCTATGGGTGAAACTATGATAGTATTAAAGTGACATATTACTTGATAATACCTCTATGGGTGATACTATGATAGTATCAAAGTGACATATATGTGAAATGTACAATTGTTTTTTGTTTTTGCCCTTCATCCTCTAAATGGTTTAGACTTTGTTAGCTGATATGTCGGGCACTTAATTAATTAATGTAAAAGAAATTACGTGTGTAAGTGGTATGAGTTTCTTAAATAAAAAATTATTAATATGTACAAGAATTCTAATGAATATTTAATATAGCATTCTCACCAGAAAAATGGAAAAGAATGCTGGCTGTATGCTATTAAGCTCCTTTAGGATACATATAATACAGTTATGTTTTAAAAAAACACACAAACTACATGTATTTGCAGGCAAAATAAAATATTCAGAACGAGTGTACGATGCTTGTATGGAAGCCTTTGACTGTCTGCCTTTGGCAGCATTAATGAATCAGCAATTCCTTTGTGTTCATGGAGGTTTATCACCTGAGATACATACATTAGAAGATATTAAAAAGGTAAGAAAAAAGCAAGCATCTTAAGTACATACATTTGACATAAGGTTGAAATGTTCCAGTAGTTGTAAGTTATGTGTTTAGCTGTTTTGTTTTTAATGAAACTTGATGTATTCAAACATTTCTCTAAGACAAATTAGATACATAAATGCTCCAGCTCATCCAACCCTATGATTAGCAGCTGTTAAAAAAAAGATTGGTTTCTTAGTAAATGGTTAGTGATCTAGGAAGTTTTTTCAGTCTTTCTTTCACTCATTATTGTGTTTCATAGTTCCAACTCGAGTGTAGACTTTACCACACTTCAAAATGGTAATCGTAATTTAGTGATCTTTTGTAATAAATATACTCGCAGTGATTCCTACATCAGACATGAGGTGAAAAGAATGGCATAAGCGTAGAAATCATATGGAACTACTTGAAAAATTTAACCAATTTTAAGTTTTGCATAACGAAATTTAATTTTGGATTAGAAGAAACATCAATTAACTTATATATAGATGTCTTAAATGTAAGTTTGATAATACTTGAGGAGTTTGCATGTGCAAATTCATCATCACAACTACAAGTTTAAGGGGGAAAACTATTAGTATGACTGGAAAAAAGCACTAATATCCAATATTTGTTTCTTGATTCTTTTGTGTTTAAACCATTTTTTTTTTCAGTTCGTAATAGAGCTTATTTAAAATATAAAAGATAACATTTCATTACTTTAGCTGTTATTCTTTTGTGGAAATGGCAGTTTGCTTCTCATCTACTTTTCTAATTATTTAGACACAATTATCGTATTTTTCTTTATTCTTTTACAAGATGTGTAAGTCAGTATAGGCTAACCTGATATTTCCCACTAGATTGGTTTTATACAAGTTTATTGGACAGCCTGTTGTTCCAAGGCTTGTTTGGAATTGTTAGCAAAATCTGTAGAAGTTCATAGAATGTTTTGTTTGTTTTTTGCAAAATATACTTAATGAAATAATTTAATAGTGTGTTTTATATTTTGATATTTTAAGTAGCCTTTTATTTGCAATGTGTCATACACTATTATACACAATGTGGTGATTTAGATGGATTGCTTTTTGTTAGAAAATTTTCTTTTCTCATTAACCATGTAAAAGACAAAAATTGTTTTGCCTTTGTTCTTTACTGTGTATCATTTGATTGCAAGTTAGTTAAATTATTTGAAAGAGCATGTATTTTATTGTATACACATATTGTTTTGCTGTTTAGCATAAGGAGTAGCAATCATTTAGTACATGCTGCTCCCTAACAGACATTAAATGATGAAACAGACACATTGTTTTCAAATTCGATGACGAGGAACCCACTTTGAGACAAATAATGCTTGGAGACCGCTTGAATTGGTAATGAAGAAAAATTTGATGATGACAAAACCTTGTTAAAACGATGTACATTTGCTGTTATGTTAAACTTATATTAAAGTTTTTCTTCAATACCCATTCTAAGCCGTCTCCAAGCATTATTACATTGTTTAGTAGATCTTGAAGTAGACATTTTTTTGCATATCCTGCTAATCACATGTACATTAGCACTATATGCATTCCAGTGAAAAAATAATAATTTTGTGCACAGCATTTAAATTTTTTTTTTCCCTTTCTTATCACTTTAGTTGGATAGATTTAAGGAGCCTCCAGCATTTGGCCCTATGTGTGACTTACTGTGGTCAGATCCACTTGAAGATTTTGGCAGCGAGAAGAACATGGAACATTTTAGTCATAACAGCGTTCGAGGTTGCTCATACTTTTACAGGTGTGTTAATTTTCAGCTCTGTGTGCAAGTGCAGTTTGGGAAAGTTATGAGGTTTAGTGTTATAATTGTGAATGGTTTTGGCATAATTTCATATGTGTTTCCTTAAGAAGATGCCTTTATGATACATGAGAAAAACTTTTTATTGTGTATTATTTACAGAAGCAGTTGAGCTGAATTGTGTGAATATCATACAGTGAGTTTATGGTTAGGAGCATTAGATCTCTTCTAATATTAACCTGGAAGATTGAATAACTATACCTAATAAACAGCCTAAGATAAAAATGTAGTAATTGTGTGAATATCATAGAGTGAGTTTATGGTTAGGAGCATTAGATTTCTTCTAATATTAACCTGGAAGATTGTTTGAATAACTATACCTAATAAACAGCCTAAGATAAAAATGTAGTAATTGTGTGAATATCATAGAGTGAGAGTATGGTTAGGAGCATTAGATTTCTTCTAATATTAACCTGGAAGATTGTTTGGATAACTATACATAATAAACAGCCTAAGATAAAAATGTAGTAATTGTGTGAATATCATAGAGTGAGTTTATGGTTAGGAGCATTAGATTTCTTCTAATATTAACCTGGAAGATTGTTTGAATAATTATACATAATAAACAGCCTAAGATAAAAATGTAGTAATTGTGTGAATATCATAGAGTGAGTTTATGGTTAGGAGCATTAGATTTCTTCTAATATTAACCTGGAAGATTGTTTGAATAACTATACCTAATAAACAGCCTAAGATAAAAATGTAATAACTGTGTGAATATCATAGAGTGAGTTTATGGTTAGGAGCATTAGATTTCTGCTAATATTAACCTGGAAGATTGTTTGAATAACTATGCATAATAAACAGCCTAAGATAAAAATGTAGTAGAAAAGAAAAAGTTACAAGTATTTAAAATCAAAAATGGCTTATTAACAAAAAGTCATTAACAATTAAAATGTTTCATGAAAATATGTGTAACATACAACCACTATTACTGCTTGACAAAATACATCCCATGTAGACAGAAGATGTTTCTATCTTTATTAATTGTGAAACGTTCAGTTTTACTCTTTTTTCAAAAACACATTCAGTAGCATAATCTCACAATTATATAACTATAAGCAATGTTCCTCTTTAATTTTTTCAATCAATATGCGTAATGTATTTTTTCATGTGCACCAGTATCATGGTAATCTGCGAATGTGCACTACCAGTTTTTTTTTACGGGTGGGGGTGGGTATTTTTAGACCATCGACCATATTAAATCATTAGGCTGCTTTGCAACACTACCAGTTGGTTATTTGGGTTTTAGGCCAATTTATTGCCAGGGTCGTTAAAGCCTTCAACATGTTGAGACTCCTCACCGTTACTGAGGATGTGCTCGGCACTCGTTTGGTTGTTGTGCGGCCACGCAGTTTAGAGGGAACACTGATTATAAGTAATGTAGTGTGGTTGACTATATTTCATCAGTGTGAGATACAAGCATTCAGTATTAACCTAGATTTTTAAAGATGGAGCAGCATTAATTTTTTTAAATTATGAAACATTTTACTACATTGTTTATACCACTTAGTTTAAATGCTGCAATGAAAACAATTATACAGATACTTTAATGCAATGAAAATGTCTCATGAAAAATAAGATTTAAAGTTATAGACCTTCAAGGCAGTGTCTTAAGAATTGATTTGTATGTAGTCAGTTTTTGAGATTATTATGCTTGAAGTGTGAAAAAGTAGGTACAATGGAATTATATCTGCATATATAAATTCAAAATTTGCAGAGTCTTCAGATATGATAAACCATTGTAGAACCTTAGTTAACTTATATGTGTATATTATGGTTTCTCCTAACACTACAAGGATAATAAGTTTGGGTTACCACAGCAGGACCATTGTCTACCATGTTTCCATTGATATTGAGATACAAGTATTATAACCTGATTTAACCAAGCATTACTGTTAGACTGAGATCATGTACTAATATACCAAATTATTACCATATGATTGTAGTACAATGTGTTTTAGTAGAATTGTAATTTAGTAAATTATCTAAGTAGAAGTAATTGAATCAAGTAAATTCATAATTAAGACATTCCACATGAACACTTTATTTTGTCACTATATTTTCTTCGTGTTTGAAAAAAACCTATTTAATCAAACTATCTAGAACCACAGAATATTTGAAAGAAACAATGTCCTGATTCTGTGACAAGATGGCACAGGTTCCACTATTAATTTAGTATCCATCAGCAACAGTTATTTAGAATCCTATGGGAAACAAGTGTAATAAAACTGTTATAAAGTCAAGTGCTATACCATTTGTATTTTAAAGTTGATTAGTTTTCACTGTGGTTTACCAGAAAACTACTATTGGTCACTAGTTTTCACTGTAGTGTACTAGGATTTTCACTAAGATGAAGCTTTATCAGATTTTCACCATTGTTTTCTAGTTGTAGTCATAGAATATCAGGCTTTTCATCCCAGTTTACTCATTTTCATGATAGTCTACTAGAGTTTTTACTGTGGTTTACTAGTTTTAACTCTAGTTTACCAGAGATTTTGCCTTAGTTATTTCCTGTACTGCATTACTGTCAGTAGTAAATGGTATTAACACTATTATGAATAAAGTGATTTTTAAAACACCAACATGTTGAAAAACTATGCTTTTTGGATATAACAATACATACAAATTATGATTTGTGTCTAAAGAACATTGCATTATTGATAAGGTACCCTAAGGTTTATTAGTAATTATTTAAGTATTGTTCAGATTCTGTTTATTTGGTCCTGTCTTTTGAACAATTGAAACTGTGAAGGATTTTGTCTTAACTTTAAATGTATTTCAGAAGTTCTCAGTTTTTCCCAGATGTAGATGTTAAATAGTTTTAGAGTGAAAAACACATGACATTGTCTTATTTCTAAATAGAAAATATAATTTAAGAAGTGATACATGTATGCTGGAAGAAACTGCATATTATTTAATATAGTGAGATATCAGAAAATTATCAGGTCAGTTATTTTAAAAAAATTAAAACAATTTTTATATCATGTTTGCTCTTTAGTTTCTCAGTTTTACTGAAAGCTAACCTGGTAAATTGTTCACTTTAAAGTGGTTTTAAAAAGTGCTGATTAAATGTGTAAAGTTAAAGATAGTTTGACTGTGAGATGTTCAGCAGGTGTTTTGAATCAATAGTTAATCTCCATACAAACAATTAATATCTGTTTTGTTTGTTTTAAATCATGTGAACCAAACTTCACTTAACAGTTAGTGATAAACTTTAGGGAATATAAACTATTCTATTTACAAAGGGCCTTTTCCTTTTTATATATATTTTATTTTTAGTTATTAATGTATTTCCTTTTGTTTTTTCAGTTTGTAAAAAATTTTACACATGTCTTCATCTAGACATTTTCTTCTTGTAAGCAAGTTTATAGCTCGCTAACTTTATTAATCATTTTGGTACTATATATTCTCTTTTATTGTGATGTTGCCTCACTACTCCTCCTGCATCGTATATGCGTTTAAATATGTACATATTGTACTGTGTTGACTTTCATTGTGTTATCTCATTTTATTTGTGTGAAACTTTCTTCTTTATATAAACTACCCACGTAAATTATCATCAGTGAAGTGTATGTATTAAATAAATAGGTTTATTGTATATAAATCTGAAGGTGTTGTAATGTAACCCACCACTCTTGCACATGTCTGTCACTGGCCTATAGATAAAAGAGTAGTAGTAGGCAGGCTTTCCCATGGGGACTGTTGCCATGGTTTCTCAGTTATTGATTCAGTGAAAATTTCCTTTTAACAAAAGGAAACAGGTGTATTAATATTTGTGATTTTCATTCCATGCTACCACAAACTATATTTCTGTGATGTTTATTCATGGGAAATATTTTTCAACCTTACTAAGTTTAGTAGAATATGTATGTTTATCTTATTTCAATTTCCTTGAGCAGCCCAAATTTTTGTCCTTCAAATAAAGGAGGATCTGTAACAGACATATTTATTTAATAGTTCTAACATTTTCCTAAGTATGAGGCTAATTTAAAAACCCCAAAAACTCATCATGAGTAACATATGTATGTACATTTTTGTCCTCTTTTATGAGTGAACTACTCATGCATAATGTGTTCTGTGAACCTAAAACCAAGTAACAAGTTTCAAGATGTGGGAAGCTAGATCAGTAGATTTCCAGAACTACTCTTGTGATACTGCATGTAATATTTATTGTAGGTACTCAAACAACTTGTATTGACTTCATTTCGTAGTTTTAGGACACATTGTAACAATAGTTCTGCTGATTTTATTACTCATTATTAACTTGCACGTTTAGCATTTCAGTATTTTTACACACATATCACATATATTTCACACACCGCTAATAGCAGTACACAGAGCTATTACTTTAATTGGAGTTTGTTTGTTTTTCTTACTGCTAGGTGACACATATCACATATATTTCACACACCGCTAATAGCAGTACACAGAACTATTACTTTAATTGGAGTTTTTTTTTTCTTACTGCTAGGTGCTTAGTACATTATTTAATATTTTGACCTGTAGCATCTATAGTTCACTTCTTGTAATTAAATGTTTCAGCCAGCCAATTTGTGTCTAACAATATTTTAATATTGGAGTAATAATTACACCATTGACATAACAGTGATTTATGCACATGAGTTGCACAATGTAAAAGACGATTAATTTCTTAACCATATGAGTCAAAAACAATGTCTTTGTATTATCAAAATATTGCACACTTATATATAGCTTAAATATCATTGCCAGGTAGTCAAAATTTAGTAAATCGTTTTTCATTCTGAAGAAGTATATTACAACTTAAAAAATGTGATCAAGCTGCGATTTATATTGTAATTTTTCTTAGTACTGAAGAATAAAACATTTTGGTTATTCCTCATGAAGTATTATCAGTAGAGTGAATGCTTTGTGTTTAAGTTTCTTTTCTGAGTTTGATTTGTTGATACTTGAATTGTTAA